CCCACCCGAAGGAAGGGACCCGCCACCTCCAAATGCATGGCGTGTGGCATGTGGAGGAGGTGGAGGTGGCTGTAACAAAAAACTGCGGCCTGGCCCTGCAAGCCCAGAACCCATTTGGCCTTGGGAAGCGGCAGCATTGGCGGCTGCAGCAGCTGCCAAAGCACCACCGCCTGCAACCTGCAGGACCAAAGAGAAATATATGAATAAGGTAGAAAACTACAGATCAAGAGATGTGGAAATATAACAAATGAAAATTAGGCAAGTAGTGCTTAAGCAAAGTATAGACTGAGAATAAAATAATAAGAATCAAAATATTAGAAGTCAGCAAAGACTATGTGACCGACTAGCACTCGTGAATATAATGTAGTGGTTAAATGTTAAAATTATACATTACACTAATGGGGTTCGACTCTAGTTACGGGAGCTGATAGAGCCCAGGAAAGGCATTAACTGCAGTCCACTCTGGATAAAAATACCTTTTATAAAACAAGCCAAATCCAATGGTATCATGAGTCACACTGGTATAATTGAGGGAAAATTGATCTATCAACAGTTTATAACATTATACGACCTAGAGTGACAACAGGTCTTAATAAAGACCCAATAATCAGTAATAACTAATTATGAACATATAAATAGCAGATACGGTTTTATTGTGAGCAATGGCATTCACATAATCATAAATCAACATATCATCTATTCAAGATAATGAGTAAAGACAATTGCACCAATAGTAACAACAATTAAATTCTCAGCAATTTATGCTGAAAAGTAGGGATTATTTTAATATTTGCTAGTGTAAGGAGACTAAATGAATCAGTCAAAAAAGTGAAAGCCAAAAATGTATTTAAATCTTCGAGTATCGTGAGCGTGATTACTGGAAAATGCTTGTTGGGAAAAATTTCATTTCGTATGGAAGTGCATGAGTAAGATATTCGTAGATCGATCCCACCAGGAACGCTTAATCGCGTTGTACCGAAGCCGTTTAGCCTTTATACGACAGTCAAATTGACGTAGTCCACGAGACCTCCTCCCTCGTTTCGAGTCTGGAACTTTTATTTAAAAGATTTTAATTTTGCTATTCCAAATGAGGTAAACTATTCTCTGGACATTCATATGAATTAATAAGCATATCTGATAGATTGCCCGAGAAGGTAAGGAATAGTATTGAACTGGAGGTGATCCTTCATTTTGACCAAATAATATCGCCAAAAAGCTTGTGCTTTAAGTACGGTTTCTAGATAATTATGTGGCAATAATCCAATAGTTATGAAAGCCAACAAAAGTGGAGCGGTGACAGTCATGGATAGGTCAAATTGTATAGAAAAACGCTAGTTTGTACAATTAATTGATTAGCAAATAACTTCACAAGAATATAGACTAATAAGTTTTGATTTTGCTTTAATGTACAAAAACATTTTTGTTCAAAGGGCTATTCAAGCTATTATACAAACTCTGGAGGAGGATCCAGAGATAACACAACTAATAAAATAATGCCTAGCGTCCAAACTTAAACTTCATAACCTATTAATAAGTCGCGTAATTCGTCCATCCTCTGCACCTGCTTGATGGATTAGAGACTAAAGCCTCAGAGTAAGTCTCATGATCATGCCTTTGCTACATGGACTAAGTCTCTGGTAAAACTGTCAGCCAACTAGCTCCAGTCTCCGCCGCGTCTATCCTGTCTCTATCCCTAATACCAAGTCTATGACTTGCCATGCCCTAGTCGTCCGTCTGCCAGCCTACAAATGTTGTAGTACTGCTGGCCTTGATTAGGTTCAATGTTGAAACACGTTTTTGGGTTGGCACACGAGAAGACTAACAAACTTGATTGCTCGGGAATTTATCGCATCAAATTCAACAACTGCGAGCAGATGTATATTGATGAAAAAGGAAGAAAAATCGGCCTACGAATTAAGGAACATCAAAGACTCTGTAGGAACATGGATACGAAAAGATCCGAAATAGCGGAACACATTGCACGAACGGGGCAAGAAATCGACCGAAAGGTTGGCAGCATGTAGTGCTGATACAAGAAAACGCAAGATCCAAGAGGCCATCGAAATACTGACCGAGAGAGATATAATGAATGGGAGACTTGAAGAAGGCAGGACTAGCGAAAACTTTGCATATTACCTAAACAAACTCGGTGAAGACCAGACAACAGTAAGATCAGCAAAAATAAGACTAGATCAAGGTAATATCCTTAATTTTAGGAAAAGAGATCGCAGGGGGATGAGAAGGCAACAGTTAGAAGCCGAGATGCCTTCAGTGAGCCTAATCAAAACCAGTCAAACCACAATATTTGTGGGTTGATGCACAAGAGACTAGGACGTAGGAAGCGATGGACATGATATTACAGATAGAAACAGGAAAGACGAGGTGGAGACTAAAGCTATTTGGCTAACAATAGACGTGTTTGATCATAAATGTGATCCTTGAATCTCGAATATTGTTAGCCAATTAGCTCTAGCTTCCCCTGTTTCTATCCTCTTTCTATTTATAATACCAAGTCTATGACTTGTTATGCCCTAGTCTGTTGTCTGCCAACCCACAAACGTTGTGGTTCAAAATTAAACCTAATCAAAGTCAGCCGTACCCGAACATTTGTGGGTTAGCACACAAGTGACTAGGGCATGGCAAGTCATAGACTTGGTATTAGGAATAGAGACAGGATAAATGAGGCGGCGATTGGAGCTAGTTGGCTGACAGTAAGTTCTACAATAGACATGGTCCATGTAGCAAAGGCATGACCATAAGACTTACTCTGAGGCTTTAGCTTCTAATCAATCACCGAAGAGCAGGGGCCAAGTGAAATACATGTACCAGGAAGATAGCAGACGGATTCTACAGAGCAAAAGGGAGACTTTAATAGGACCACATAACAATGACAGACTCTAGTCAACATTCTCAACACAAGGATTAAGGATGTGATAACGACAGCGTGGAGTGTGAAGAGTTTTCATAAATGCCGCTCGAAGGAGCACACCACAGTACATTAAAAAATAAGCACGGTAAAAATTGTGAGAGGGAAGGCATGATAGGAGGATATAGGAATTGTGAATAGCCCAGGGCAGAAAGGGAGATAGCACAAATTTTTAGCACACTTTTGGTCAAAGGATGGGCTTCACTTGTTATTTGACGAGTTTTAATATGGTGCTATGAATGACGAGACTCACTGACGATGCCGGCGAAACGTCTGGGAATGTACCACGTCCACGGTCCAACTTTGAAAATGATCATGCATACAATGGACTCTGGACTAGGTGCGTTTCTCTACGTCTTCCTACTAATATGACCAAGTTGCGAAAACAAGATCAAACAACTCTAATAATAATATAGTTTAAATAAACAATAACTTTTTTCTCTTACGCCATTTTTAAATATAAATATGGCCCATTATTGAGATCCGGATAATACAAGATTGTTTGCTTATGTGGTCGACCTGATCTTGCTGAGACATGAGGACCTATTCGACAACGATTACGGGAACACAAAACTGCTCATAAAGGAAGCTGGGTACAACGGTCAGAAGTGGCCTAACACATGGCAGAGATTGGACAAGATAGAATGGTCTCAATCTAGAAGGTTTGCTGTTTATGGTACGTCGGTTGTTGAAAGAAATACAAGAGAGGTTATCGAAATTAATGTATTAAGGAATGCATGGAACATGAGGAATGGTGGTAGAAGTTTGAATAGGAACTACTTATGTTTGCCCTAATCATACATCTCCTTGGGTAGTTAATCGTTAATGACTTTAGACTAAGATATTAGCACAAGTGGCTTTGTAACTTGACTTACATGCTTACACGCTTACAAACTTACCCAGTTTCGGTCAAGCCTCTCTTGGGTCATTAAGCCTTGATGATCAGAGCCTGGCATTAATAATTTGATCACTGATTTCGGATCGGTATTGCGTATTGGGGTCAACACACACACACTGGGACACTTAGCAGAACTGATACGAAAGACTAACCATTCAATATCTATATAGGCTTTTTAATTTTCTTTTTCTCAATTGATTCTATATAAGAGATAAGATATAGCAGGATAATCTTCTTGCCCTAGTGTTAATTTGAGAATTTTACAAGAATGAGTTCCAACTCTGAATATATCTTTAGTATGATGGACGAAGGCTCAGCCCGTTTTCACTCGAAACGAGGGAGGTCTTGAGGATTGCGTCAACCAGA